TTATTTTAAGATAAATTTTCAAATTGACTCCCGATTTTTTTTTTATGAGACAGAAAACTCCTCTTTTCCAAAGCTATCATGAAGGGATTGCCCGGATGTTGGTTTCAAGGGGAGCAGACCTCACATGCTCTCTCACTAACTCCTATTGATATTCATCTGGGCCATTGTAAAGGTAATAATTTTACTAAATAAAAATGTTATCATCTCAAAATCGGATTTCAAACCATTGCCTGGTTTGGTTTGACCGCGTCACATATATTCCTATATATAATTATACCCCATAAACCATAGGCCTAACAACATTAAGTCACAGTTAACCTGTTTAATCCCCAACTGAACTGCATTGGGTACAATAATTAATTTGTCAGTATGATACATTTGTACACATGCTGGTAATTTCTTGTAATACTGTTGTTGTAACCATACTATTTTTACTTTTTATATAGGATTTTAATGCATACTCTAACATGTTCCCTTAATTGTAAGGCTTTACTCTATTCATACTGCAGAACTTCCATCCAATATAAAGCTCAATATTTAAAAAAAAATGGATACTATTATTGCATCAATAATAATATTGAAAACATATAAAATTATTGTTGTTTTAAGTACATTTCTGCTGATTTCATAATATAAATGATTTTCATTGCAAAATATTGCTATAAATTACAATATGGTAGTTTTAATTGTGCTGTAAATGATTCTTAAGAAAATAAAAATAAATAAGGTGTCCCATTAATAGGGATTTTACTGTTAGACCGTCTTCTAATTTTGAATATAATTTTATTTTGTTTGTGATACTGGACACTGGACAAGAAATGGCAAAAACGCTTTGTACAGTAGCATGCTGGGTGTCAACAAAGCCATCTGCAGCTGCTTTCAATTAACTGTAAGTCTGGATTTGTATTGTCTCAAAAGCAGTAAATTCAAACTTTCAAATATATACAGTACATTTTTTACACAGCAGGCTCACACATTGAACAAAACACAGTCTTTAAGCTATCATTAGCCAAATGCAACATAAAAGCTGAATTTGACTAAATATGTTTTTTTCAAAATTAGCTATTTATTTTCATACTGAATTAGCCCTAATTGCTAAATTGTGTTTTTGGCTAGCTTAAACTCTGAATACACTTTAATTGAAATACTTTACTTCAATGATTAAGCCAGTGAAGTAGCTGGAAAGGGATCATCCATAGTTTCAAAATTTCTACAAGAGTAGAAAACATGTTCTTCTCTGTGAACTCCCTCAATTAAATGATTATTGTGAATTTGATAATATTGTTTGATCTCTTTCATAAAGGAATACAGTACAGTATATGACTATACTGTAAACCCCCCCCCCCTTCCCATTGTGAAAATAAGAAACATTATGGATGGTTTCAAGTTCCAGTTGAGTAGAGCCTAAATTTGTTTTAAGAACCTATGATGTTTACAGTACATCAAGTCACATTTTCATGAATGATTTAATCCAATTACACTGTGTACATCCAACCCTAACTCCTCATGTGTTTTAACCAGCCTCTCATTGCTAAATCTATTCTTCTGATTTCCGAAATTTCTTTATCTATACTTCTTGTTGAATTTCAGGTGATGTGAATGTTAAATGTGCCTTCATAATGGACATTAGCTGTTCCAGATTACTTTTCATCCCATACACAGCCCTTTTCCGTCTATTGAACTCGGCGTGTATCAGTTCGCCACCTTGTTCTGCCAGTAATCCGATTCCTACATTCCATTCCCGCATAAAAGGTATTGCGTGATGTTCAAGCATATGGAGTTTGGGTTGAACAACTCCAGGGGCAATTCTCCTGTACTCTCTGGAGAATATCTTTATAGAATTTTCTGTATTGGAAAAAAAAATATGTTTACTGTATACTACATTTGTTGCACTAAATTTTATTCTATTATTTTTTTTGTAATCTAATGTAATGGTACCTTTACGACTAAATTGTAACTTACCATATGCATCTATTTCTGAATCATCAATGCATCTTGTATGATTTATACAGGCATGTACATCACTAAACAACTTAAACACAGGAGTAAAGGATTCTCTTATCTTTTTCAATTTGATCTCCAAAAGTTTCTTGTGGCTAGCAGGGCATTGATGCATCTGCTGCTTTAGTGTAATTTCTACACTATCCATAAGCTTGTCTATAATATTAAACTAAAAAAAAAAGAATAGTTCTTGTCATACAGATACAGACTACTTGGATAAGCTGTACACATGCAAGGTTATCTTTCTTGTCAGCAGCTATTTGGTGTTTGAAGTTTCCAATTAAGTTGTCGGTGTCAAGTTGGTTTTGTGGCTTTTGATGTCATTTTTAATTTTGAAAAAAAAAAAATTTAGTTACTTACTTTACATGCTCGATACACATGGTTGCCGACAAAGCTCTTTCCATGATACGCTTGCCTTGGAATTTTGCTTTTTCTAAGAACTTCATCCATTTGTGTGCATAAAGGCCCACTTCCATATTTTAAATCCTTGTTCATAGCAGTTTGCTATAAGACAAAATTGCAATACTCATGATCATTTACAAATTTTCTATTAAATAACTTTTTACATTTATAGTAATATTAAATTCAATTAGCTTACCAAGTCATTAACTTCCTGTTCTTTCAGGTTTATCTGGTGCCCAAGCTTGGAAATTTTATCAGCATCATCATGCTTTACAAGAAACTGAGAGAGTGCATCTCGTAATTCATCTAGTTCCTCATTTATAGAACTGATTTTATCGGCACAAGCACTACGATTTGCTGCTGATTCTACGATTTTTGTTTCAAAATCTGCCAGATGCTCGCCTAAAGATAATGGATTATTTATTGTTAGTGGAATAACAATACTTTCAATTTAGTCAAAATATGGTGATATGAGTGATAATTTGTAATTTGAACAAATCAAGGACTTTTACCAATTGGGATAGAAGCATCCTCCTGTCTCATATTAAAGATTATCAGGTCTACATTGTGCATGTCTTTCTCCAGCATGTCGTACATCTTTTTGAAAAGACCAAGTGATATATGAAGTGCTGGTATTGACACCTGGAATATATTATTTGTACAAGTAGTTCAGGAAAAATATAATGAAGAATGAAGGTATGAATGTTACAGTAGTACTAATATAGTTTGTTTTGACAAACTTTCAAACTGACACTTATTGCTCTAACAATGTTTGAATTATAGTATTGTTTAGATTTTCATTCAACTAATATACCTACCCTGTTTAACTCAATATCTACCATATAAGGCCTGATTACACTGTGGGACACAAGTTTACTTTTTTTGGGGTCACTGCCATGATCAACAAAGCACTTATAATCTTTGTTATAAGAAGTAAGGCATCTTTCGCCTGATGGCTTTTCATTTGTCCTGATATCGTCTTGGTTTGAGTAACAATAAATGCAACTGTACTTTCCTGAAAAAAAATTAATTAGATACAAACAAATTAATAAAAATAACTCATCGGAAGACCAAAATCACAAAAACTTCCATGATTTGATGGTGTATTTATTATTTCCATTTATTAAAAGTTACTATCTAAATCCTTGAAACATTTAAAAATAAAACACAAAATGTAAACAACATTAAGAATTTTTATTTACCATTTGGTCCCACAAGTCCATAAATTCGACAAAGAAAGTCGTAATCGCCGAAAAAAAACAGGCGGATGTTGTGAGTTCTGCAATCAATCAGATATTTTATCATATAAAATAAAAATTACAGCACAGTATTTATTTTCTACCAATCATTTTATTGTGAGATATATTAGGCCTCTTTTCAAGGTTTTAGAGTATTCAAATAGTAATATTATATACAGTATCCCAATACTGTACTACTGTAGACAGTTGTATCTATTTAAACCATTGTAG